CCCAGCTTGATACGTACGTTCTTCCCTTCGACTTTTGTTGTTGGGAGCTTGTTCTTCTCAACCCGATGCTTGTACACGTACACTGTTGTAGCATCGCTGTCTAGTAGCATAGTTGATGTCGAGAGGTTCTTACCGTTAACGCTGATCTCATCACCAACAGAGAACAGTGGATACGACTTGTACACGAGTGGGGTTTCACTCAGAACATTGATGCTGATATTCTCCAACATTAATGCTCCGATTACTCTGTTGACCACGGCAGGACCCTCATTCTCTGTCGCGGTTTCTCGTTTCCCTGCTCGCCTTGTTTCTTCTCCCACGCATGACAGTTAGGCTTGATATGTCACGGTTTCTTGGGGTAGAAGCACGTGCGAGTCTCTTTACCGTCTTTTGGTTTCGTGCCGGGTTTGAAGCGACCTTTACCACGGAATAGTTTTCCTTTGCTCCGCCCTCCTTGGCCAGATTCTTGGCCAGCTGAAGTCTTCTTGTTTTTGTTTTGGTTAACTTGACGCGTACGAGCTTCATCAACGTAGTATACTTGACTGCAAGGTCCATCGCTTCGCTCAGCGTTTCAGGGGTTTCCAGTTTGACGTAGCTGCGTGTGCTTTGCTTGAGACCGTTCGCGTAGTTTAGGACTTGGTCCAACTCGCTCATGTCTTCAACACGGAAAATGAGAGCACTGTACTCTCCGTTGTAAGTATCGATGTCAGCTGTTTGCTTCAGCCGTTGAAGCTTGTCACGGAGCAAGGCTTGGTAATTCGACGACTCGAAGTGTTTGAGTGCATGCTCACGGAAATTCCCCCACGTACACTCATCCACTCTTGTTGCCGACGACCAATGCAGGAACCATCTGGACGCGGGTTTCTCCATCGTGGACCCGGCGATTCCTGGAAGTCTCGCGCTTCCGTCTTCGATTTGGATTCCGTTGATACGGCACGCGTTCTCGATCTGGAATAGCCACTCCCTCACGTCTTCCCCCCTCTTGCCCTTGAACTTAGGCAGGTTGTTTGGAACATGTGATCGGTCAGCGACCACCTGGTTGAGTCGGGCGATCTCGGCACGTAGCTGTGCATTCGTAGGAGGTATCGTCTTTTCTTGAACAGGGGCTGGGACCAACAACTGCTACCAGTTTATCAGTTGCGATGCAGATGAGGGGGAGATGCTCTTTGCAGGGGCGGCCAAAACGA